AACTTTTTTCCCTAGAATTGCAAGTAATTATGATGTACTTTAGTTACAGTGGCTTAAAGTGAGCTATTGTAGTACTCTTCGTGTCTCTATCGTACTTTCTGGACTGCTTGAAAATGCTAAGATTTGTTGTTATTCCCAATGTTTTTGTTTCAACAGGGGGATATTATTATTTAATAGTAATAATAATTGCAAGTCCCCCTCATGTCTAGAATTATATACATTTTTCAGCATCGTTCAGTGTAAGGTCCCTGGCGTTGTCTTGCACAGCTTCTTAACCTGCAGGGTACAGCTGTTGGCAATGGTACGTGGGCATGGGGGGAATCACTATATTCCTCGTACATAGGAGCAGTAGATGGAAATGCAGATGAGGTGACTGAAGTTTTATTACGCTCTTGATGAGACAAGAACAGGAGAACCGAAGCAGAGAAAGTTTTGGAAAGAATGTGTGCAATAAAGACCACCGACACAAATTATTTGGTAGGATTTGTGGCCTTATTTGGATCTTTATAAAAACTGAGTGAGTAAGCTCTTTATCAAATATAAATTAAGGTGACTTGATTATTGTGAATACGTTCATCCACATAAAGAGCGCACAGTGTTTTCTCCAATTGTATTATGAATGGCAGAGCAAGTACCAGTGCTGATGAGTGCCAGGTGGAAGCTGATACTAGATAAATAAAATTGGGTTGTGTTTCAAATGTTGTGTTCATAAGTAAGGGTGATTTTCCATGACAAAACATAGATGGAAATTGTTTTGGCCTTGGTCTATGAATTTGTGGAGAGGAAGACTTTCAGGAAAGAGACACGTTAAGTAAATGATCCAGAAGGATGTGAATACTGATTTTTGGGAAGTCGGAGGAGTCCATTAGGAGAAGGGCTTCAGGAGAGCCCAGCTGACAGTAGTTTTGTTGTCTGAACAGTGCTGTCAACATTAAATTCAGCCAGAGCTGATTGAAGCTTCAGTAGTTTACCAGTTGTGGACTTAATCCTCTGGTTTACAGGAAGGGTGAGGGAAATGGTGACATGTAGCTGAGACCAGATTGGCCCTGTCGTGGGTTTGCAAATAATATATAAATGCAGAGTAAGACGAACTAGCTAAGGTAACTCTTGGCAATTTATTCACCGGCTCCTCCCCCCCGTTGGTAATATTTATTGCTTTTCAAAGACGGGGCTTCCTAAGATAATAGTCAACCTCCCTTTCTTTAAAAGGAGTTAGTTTAATAGGTTTACTAGTTAAACCTATCATCTTCTGCAGCTTCTGGAGCGTTTCCGAGCTATTTTTCTTCTCTTGCTTAAAAAAGCCCCTTATTTTAGCATTTCTCCTTGTCAAGCCAAAATGTGGTAACACTTGGCTGTTTTGTCCTTTGATTGTAGAGACTTGTTTATTTGCATAGCCTGAGTTTGAGAAAGAGCAGTCTCCACTGTGTATAAATAGGTTCACTTTCATGTTACGTGTCTAGCCATCAATGTAAACGATGTTACATCTCTGTCAAAATAATTTTGTCTTTAGAAGCTAATCAAGGAAATCAGATGAAATTCCATAAAGTTGTCAGAGTTTTACTCTCACACCATGTAATGAATGCATATATTGCTTTTGGTTTTCTGTTTCTCTAAGTACAGAGCAGCAGTCACAATATCTCTGGATTTCGTATAGTACTTGGACTATCCCGTTTATGACTCACTTATCAAATGCAAGATATGAAAGACCAAATTGCTCACGTACTTTAATTAACATAAAAGCCCTGGAAGTAACACAAAAATATGTTGTTTGCAATATACGTATCACTTTCCCAAGGGTTTACATACTTTCAGAATCCTTTATAAAAGGGAGGCCTCCAAAATTAACATCCAGAGGAAGATGATATTGCATAGGAACAGTAAGAGTTTAGCTCAGACATGTACTAACAAAGGTGTTTCAGGTATTGTCGTACACAGCACGTGGCCATGCGGTCTAATTGGGATACTAAGGGAAAGATTGTAAAATTAGAAATTATATCTATCCAATTCGTCAGAGCCATCTTACATACTTGGGCTCTTACAAAAGGAACATCGCAGTCATTTTAAAATAAGCACGTCCAGTCACTTCTCCTTTCCAGGACTTCCATTAGATATAACGGAATTAATTCAACCACTTCTCAGACCTACTATGCAATGATACAATGATGGTGTGAAAGAGAAAGCTAAACTTGAAATAAAAAACCAAAATAAACAGCTGGTGAAGTAGAAACCTTGGGAAGTGCAGGTGAAGTTTTTTCCTATATATTTTGGCACTGTTAAATGGATCGTAAAGTACTTGTGTACAGCTGGATCTGAAAGCAAAATAAAAAATAACATTATTTACTTAGGATTTGACTGCTGAGTAGGAATATACAGACTTATTTGTGCGAACTGTGTGTGGATAATGATTAAAAATATGAAAAGAGGGTAATGATCAGGCTGTGTCATCTTAGATGTGTAACATTTGAAAAAATCAAACCAGGAAGAAGGATAAAGTTGGTGTAGCAGACATCTGCTACTTTTAGGACAAGTTCACTTTTCTTAACAGACTGCTTCTTCACACGAACTTTCCACATAGAGATGAATGTTCCTTTGACATGAATTTATAAAACTTCTTTAACTGTTTTGCTAATTGCTTAATTCCTGTGCTTTCTGAGAATACTGCTAGCCTGGTATAATGACTTTAAGAATAACTCTGTGTTAAGCACACAGCTTTCAAATCTACCATTAATGAAATGTCTGTCCGTTTCATTAATTGCGTCTGCTTCAGTGGCTTGTATAAAGATTTTAGCAAGAGACGAGGATTTCAAACAAAGGTTCAGAAATGTGTGCAAGTGAAGTATTGGAAATCTGATAACATTAGAACAATGGTTAGCTTCAAGAAATGTCCTGAAATATCACCACTTCAGCAGACATTCAGGATTACAGTGCAATTAATCTTTGTGGTTCGACAGTAGAATCATTATTTGCCTTTACTTCAAAGTCATCTTTTTGTCTGTAACTGGTTTCCAGAGGCAGATGTCGGTGCATATGTACTGAGTTTTTCTTAAAAGGCCTTTGCATTCCTTGAAAGATAGCAATGGTTTGTGAGTTAAGTGGCCATATTAAATCCAGAAAAGCAAAATGTAAGGTTTGTATATCACTCGGTTTACTTTGAGCAATTCGGAATCAAAAAGTAATTTAATTCAGTCCTCACAGGAAACACAACTGTCTGGGATATCTCATTAACTCATTTCCTTGTCTAATACCTGCCTCTTTACAGCTTCAACTTTCCCACATCAAAGAAAAGTCCTTGGCGTGTGCTGAGGCTAAGGACTGAGATGGAAAGAACCTCAACTTGTGAAGAAGGTTCTCAAGTAAAATACTGTTTATAGGAGTTTCAGCTAGCTCAAGCTCCAGGGAAGAGAAGCTGCCCTTATCACTCCTTTAATCATCCTTTCTTCTGTCAGATCCGTTCCCTACAAGCTGTTTTATGCATTGGATTTAGTTAAAGTAGACTTCTTTATTTAATGTAGAGTTCTTACATAGGTAGCCTGCTTAGCAGGTGAACAGCTGTATTGTCTAGTTAGGTCAGATTTTTAGAGGATTTAAATGTTTTTATGTCCATCTCCCTGAGTTTACGATATATCATGATATAATAAAAAGAAATGTACAGAGATGGCACTAGTTTAAGTAAAGACCTGTTTCCAGTTACTTCGTTCTCCTTCTTGCTGGATTCAGTGGGAGAATGACTGAACGCTTGGAAGCAGAAATATGAGATCAATTTTGGTAACAGAAATTAAGCCTTTTTTTTTTTCCCTTTGTAGTTTCTTTCGGAAACAGTAAGCGTACACCAGTATTGGGAGAGCAGTGTGTGAGGAGAAACTGCAGAGTTTTAGTACACTTAAAATAAACTTGGAAAAATGTTATATTCTGAACAGTGCAAGTCAGCATGATAACTTTTTCAGTTTGAGGTCTTAACGTGTGATGCCAGATGTGAGCGATGGCTTTACTTTGTCTGCCCCTTTGAATTGTGCTTGTGTGTATACAAAAACTATACAGGCACACACACGTATGTAATATGAATTATACATTAACCAGAGCAATTCTGTGAATGAAATTATATCCTCAATTTTCAGAGAGGGAGGTACAGAATAGATTTTACCTGAGGGTAAGTGGGCAAGCATTGTAGCAAGTCTGTGAGTGTTTTTTGAAGTCTGTACCTTTGCAAATGATGAAACATTGGACAACTCTCTGTGCTGTATCTAGATGCCTTTCCTTAATCAGAGTGCTTTACAAACTGAAAAGCTTGAAGTCATACTTCTAGTAAGTAACCTAGTGCTGTTTTCTTCTGCAAAGACAGTTTACTATAATTTAAAATCCATGGAAAACAGGGAGCAACTTCTTCCCTCCTACATAAACTGACATCTGAACCTTTAAACTGGAAAAGTACAAAAACTAGCTGAGTGAGAAAAGCCTGCAAGCCCTTTGGAAGAAAATCCCACAGCTCCACCAGGCATTGATTTATATTAAATACAGCTATAGTGTATGTCAGCAAATAGAAGATGGAAAAACAACTCAATAGAAGCAAAAGCAACCCAGAACACACGGAAGTCAAGCACCTTATTTATGTGCTCAAAAGTTTAGAAAATTGAGTGCTGGGTACCATTTTTCTACAGAAATACAAAAATATAAAAAGTAGCATTACATAAAAAAGCAAAAATTAATAAACTGTGGCAGATTAGCTTTTCAAGTGAATGCCTCTTGAATGGATTGAATGAATGTCCAAATGGAAGAGATGAAAAGTTAAACAGATGAGGATTATGGAGAGGATATTTCATTGACATGAGGAAGAGGAGGAAATACTTTAAAATGCTTTCAAGTTCACTTATGTTGAAAACCTACAGCTTCTGTGTTTTGCTATTACAGCTGTTGTAACTTAATACTTGCATGTATATAAAAAAAAAGACAAAACTGTACAAAAAAGTATCAGGAAATAAAATTATGTTTGTTTATTTCTACAGAATGCTGAAATTTCAGTATTTGAAGTGAACATTCGTTTTGTTGGTGGACTACTTTCAGCTTACTATCTTTCAGGAGAAGAGGTATGATATTTTCATATGTCTTATCTGAAATATCATCATCTACATAAGCAGTTAACTTTTAGTTTAATAGTTTTATTTATCTGAATTAAACTTGTTTAGAATGTTGAAAATGGCTTGTACAGCAGAAACCTGTCCAGTGGGTTTTCTTGCTTCTATTACTGTTGCTTTGTATAAGTCTTAAAGCTATTACTTCATGAAAGTGTTGAATGAATTTTTTTATTTTTTTTTTAATTTTTCGTGAGTTAAAACCATACCCAGTACATTCTTACTGGGCTTTGTGCTGGAGTGTGTAATTATGGAGTTCCTGTGCCATGCTAGGGGTAGATTTGGTGCATCAGGTTCCTGCTTCACAAATTGATTTTGAGCATATAATCTCCTATGAACTATACTTCTGTTGGTCTTCCTGAAGCTGAAGCTTCATGTCACATGGAAAAGACATGTTAAGAACGAAAAGATAACTGGTAAACCTATACATGTGAATGTCTTTAAAGCTTTAATATCCCATTAATATCTGTTGCTTGTCATGGTTTCTGGAGAGGATGAAGAAGCAATTTTATCCAAGAGCTTTGACTAGTGCAATTATTTCTTTAACACTTTTGGAGGAGGCTATACTAAGTCACAGGTACTGTGGTATTTTAAATTTTTAGCTTGGCACTTGAAAAGTCTTTAATATTACTAGTTTTAAGTTCTTGTTCCTATCTCTGGATTATAATAATATTTTATTGTAGGATTAACACAAGTTAATACTCTCTAACTGTAAGTTGAATTTATCATTGCATTTCTTCAAATCCAAAGCAATTACTGGTGGAAACTCCACAAAACCCTGAAGATGTCTAATTTTCTTTCATGTGTAAATTTCCCAAATACTGGATAAAACTCTGTTTTGAACCTGTCACTTTAAATTAACTTAAATTCTATGGTGTGTGTGTTGGTTTTTGTTAAAATTTATCATTATGTTAAAGCTGGCATAGCAGGTACTATTGGGTCATGTACCTGACAAAGCAGTTACAAGGAGACAATGTTCCTCTGACACTTTTACATCTTAAGTAGACTTACCTGTTTAATTGCATGGTCCTGCTCTGAGTGTAGGTGATATTGAAAAGACATTAATGTTTAAAAAAATACAGATTTTCATATTTTAACTGTCTTATAATGTTCTGGGAAAAAAATTGCACTTAGACCCATTTCAAATTCACACTTAACAGTAATGACAAAAATTGAGAGGTGCTTGGTAGCAGGCTTCTTGATCTTTACTAAATATTGTTTTACTTAATGTTTCATCTCCAGCTCTTGAAGGAAATCACTTGTCCTCCTACAGTAACTTGGCAACCAGAAATAATCATATCTAAGGGTGTCTAGAATTGAAAGCTCTTCCTTCTGCGATTAAATAGTTGTATCTTTCACTGCAGATCTGCTTCTTGCAAACAGGAGTGAACTTTTCCAGTATAACCTATTGCTACATTTTAATTAACTGGCTTGGTCAGAGGCAGAGGATGCTTCTTGGCAGACGACAAGCTGGTAGAGAACTGCACGTGAGCCTTTACATCAAGCGGCAGTTGTCTGCCAAGAAATGCCTGAACCATTTGTCATTGGTGCTGTTGATTTCATCTATATGTTGATGGTTTATATCTGGTGTCTGTTCATGTGCAGTCTCACTTTCAGTCAGTGCATATAGTTTCTCCTAAACAACACCTAATCGTTGCTTCTCTACCATTCCCTCATTTTTGGAGAGGCAGTTTTACCACTACCTCTTGGACTAGATTGATAGCAACACTGGTATTCAAATAAAACTCTTGTACTAACGAAATGAGGAAACATTTAAAACAAAAGAAAGTGTTTCACACAACGGATAATTAAGTGGAACTTTTTGCAGTGGAATAGTGGTGATACTGGATGCTAATGTCTGTTCTAAAAATGGACAGACTCATTAATGAAAGTGAAATGGGCTCCTAAATGCAAAGATGATGTGTATGGTTAAGCAGGGTCCTGAGCTCTTGCAGGCTGGGAAGGATCCTATCCGTGCTTGCCCCTGGTTTTCATGCTCTTCAATAGACATCTGCTGTCCAAGACACAGTGATGTTCCTAAACTAACAGTTGTGCAGTGGCTTAGAGAGTGCACCGCGGCATGCTCTGCCTTGATTAGATTTGGGGAAACTTCCCGATTTGTCTCCTAAACCTGAGGCGGTGAAGCGGTAGCCAGCTGCTGCCGATGGGCAGAGCGGGGGGCAGCCGTCCTGAGGATGGAGGAGCTGGGTAGCTCCGGTGAAGGACAGACCCCTCACCAGGGGAAACCTCACGGGGACGGCACTGAGGGCCCCAGAGGCTGGCAACTGCCATAGAAAACGTATCTTTAGTCATCCCTTAGTCCAGTACGTTAGTGGGCCTTCCTGCGGAGGTGGGACAGCCTCAATGCAGGCTGTTTGGATGATTAAGCTTTCTTGGTTAAAAGCTCATTTAATTCTTTATCAGATTAACTATTTAAAAAATCCTTTTTTGCTGTGCTCAGTTATCAATATCCTAATTAAAGCAAGCTATGTTTCAGTAAAAGGAGTGACGGAAATAATTATTGTTTGTACTTCTGAATTACATTTCCATGGGTAATGATCCAAAGCTGCAACACATTGTATGTTCCATAATCATTTGTAAGTCTAACTAATCATGATTAAAGAATATCCTATCATACTGAGTAGTTCCTAAAACATCCTGCTCACATAATAGTTCATTTAGATAAAGGCAGCAATGTGAATAATTCTAAAAATGAACAAATTGAATACTTTGTCTCTTGATAAGTGCAGTAACTGTGTGTGGTGCTCGCTTGCTAATACAGCCATGAGATGCATTCTATTAAACTTCCTACAGTTTCTGCCTTACCAGAGTTAATGAGGTACCTAAAAGTGTTGGAAGAGTTTCATACACTTTAAGTCTGTTTTTTTGGGGTTTTTTGTTGTGGTTTGTGTTTTGGGTTTGGTTTGTTGTTTTTTTTTTTAATTTTATGATTGTTATTTAAACCTGAGCTAGAAAGAATTCCAGTCAAATTCTGGTCTCTCTGGTTTTTTTAAGTCCCTCATAGTGATATTGCATGTGAATGCTTCCCTGGTCTTCTTCCATGAGTCAGTGGCTGTAGGGGATTATTAAAAATAACCCCTGCTCCTTTAAAGCACTGTTAGCATTGAATTTGTTTGTCTGTTTGTTCATTTGTATGACAGCACCTTGAGGAGCTTGTAATATGCTAAGTTTAACCCATAGGAATAGGACAGATTTTTTTGCAAACTTTCTTGATCATTTTGCTTAAATTAAACTTGCATTCATTAGTAGACATGTGATTACTCTTCTAAGCTACTTGGTATGCAACCTTTTTTTGGTTTTGTACTGGAAAATAAGATGTCCACCAAGGGAGAGATTGGTTTTACAACTGCTTTGCTGTACTTGCTAGTCTGATGTAAAATTCTGGTATACCAAGGGTTGGGAGTATTGCGTGCAACAAGATCTCCCATTTTGCAGACCCAGATAATTTTTCTTCTCTTGCTTAAAGGACACTTCCAAGTGTAGTCATATAAGGAGATAATTTGTTAACTTTTGGAGGAGGAGAACACTGTATCCTCTAATGGCAGCTAAGACCTTTCTTGGAATTCATGGAGGTGACAAACTTTATTTCTGAGCACTGTAGTCTTCACTGTTGGGAGTAACTGTGACACTGGTACTGAAAGTCATGGTACATGTATGGCACTGCTTGTAGAGAATATACAAGCCTAAATACTGATCTGATTAGCTCTTCTGATTTACTGATGGCTGGTTCTTACAGGTCCTGCTAGGGCTCTGTAATAAGGGGACTGTTTCACTTGGAGGTTGGCTCCACAGTCAGGGAATACATTGCATAGGGAGAAGCAGAAGGAGCTTTTAATAATTGCTGTTTGTATGAGCAGCAAAAAAAGTAAATCCAAAATGCTCTGAAGTCAATGAGGAACACGTGAGTTTCAGATCCAGCTGTTAAGTTCCCAGATTCCTTTGAATCTTTTCCACTTTTTGTATGGGATGAGAGTAGTTCTGCCCCCCCCCCCCAACTTTAA